CCAAGAACTCCATTCAAAAAACTGCTAGCATTTATCTACCTGGGGCTGCCTTTGAAGTTGGCCTGAAAATTGCAGCTGTTCCAGAGGGCAATAGTTGAAATGTTAAGAGAGAGGGCCTTTCAAAATTGCTTCCCTGGAGCCCAGAACCTAACTAGATACTTTCTTCAACCTCATTCAGCCAGATGCTAAGGTCACTTTCCGGCCTTTCTGTATATTTTAAATGTTGGCTTTTTTAAAAACTAATTCACATATGTTACTTAGTCTCTTAAAAGTGGACTCACTGCAGAAATTATGTAATTATTTTAATCAATATAACCCAATTTGAGATCAATGAAGGGTGGATTTTAAAAAAGCTTTAAAATGCATAGAAAGTTTTATTTTTAATTTCTAAATCACCAATTTGGGTCTTATTTCCAATGCTCTGAGTTTATAACTGAATTTGCTCAGGATGCAATGAAGTTAAGCATTAGAAGGACAGAATTGGGGAAAGGTGTAATCATGGTCTAAAAATTATTTCTGGAGGTACTTAGCTATTTTTGTATTTCTCCCATTGGAGCCTAAATTGTTAATCTATAGCTTAGAAAATTCACTAGTACAGCTACAAAACTTTATCCAGTCCAACATCAACAGACTGCTGCCAACCTTTTAAATTATGCCAAATGTCCTCACAATGCCTACACTGGGATTAGTAGTAGGAAAATAATTGGGAAGACTAAAGAAAATTGAGTAGCACCTAAAACAGCACTGAGAACTATTTCAGTAATCTCAAAACACGAGAGTACAAGTAAGGTTTATAGTTGCAAGAAGTACAATTATTTATTTATTAGAAACACATTTACACACCTCAGATTTAAACTAATTGATATGTCACAAATGAAATACACAAAAAGTAAACCTTCCCTCAGTCTGAGCCAACTTCTTGATGACTTTGTGAACACATCCATGAAGGTTTCTTGACAATATTGCAGATATGTTTACTTCCTAATTTAGCCTATCTCCTATCTCAGAAGCTACCTTCACCTGCTTTGCTTCCAAATTCAAAGCTGGCTAAGTACCACCACTTATTACAAAACTTCATGATCAAATTGTTGTTTAATAAAACTGCAGAGGGGTAAATCAAGATCAACCAATATCACCTGTAGGGAATCTCCCCTCCAAAATTCAAGATAGTGGTAATGAAAAAGAAACGTCATCCCTTTTATACATGTGTGCAATGCAAAAAGGGAAAAGCTTCCATTGTGACATATTTCTAACATCTTATGTATTTTTTACGTTTATTTAATTTCACATGCATGAATATTGTTTTGTCTATTTATTCATATCCCTTTGTTATTTTTATAAATAACTCAAAACAGCAAACATACCCAATATTCCTTCCTCCTTTTTCCCTAAAACAATAACTCTGTGAGAAATTTTCTTGCTGGAAATATATATAATTTCCCCAAAACATAAAGGATTCTTAGTTTAAGTTGTAAAAGTAATTCCTCATAAATGTTTACCTTTTTAATTAGCTTGTTCTCTAACTTTGATTTAAGCTTTGATCTTTGATTTGATGCTTATCTCTGTGGCTTAGGCCTAGGAATTTCCAGTGGCTCCAGGGATGCGATTGAAACGGTGTAACAACTGGTTTGGTGAACATGCACTTCATGTACATGCAGAGCATTTGCTACTGACTTTCTCCAGTAATCTCTGTGTGTTAAACAGCTGATGCGCAGCAATCCACTGTGCTGCATGAATTAGCTGAGCTTGAAAACCAGGAAAGCACACACTAGAACTGGGGAGGGCAAGTGGGCCCAACAGTTGATCATCAGAGTGAGCTGATTCACTCACAGCTGATCCACGAAGCTATCAGTTCGCCCAAACTGGGCCAAACCGGTAGAATCCCACCCTGAGTGGCTATCTTAGGCAGGATAAATGATGCCAAATTGCCCATGAAAACTACAGTCATTTCTTTTTAACATCTCTACACATAAACATCTAATGATACATAACATTATGCCATCATATTCAGTGGATGCTACTTGCCAAAACTGGACACAGTACAGTGACATCACAGCTTTCATATTGTCATTGAGAAAGCTTTGTCACAGAGAATGTTTCAACTAGTCTGACTGGAAGCACCAATATCCAGTAAAACACCAATCTATCCTAGGATACAGAACATGTATTAAGCAGTGTTTTCTTGAAAGGGTTGTATCCTAGGGCAGAATCTGTTAGTAACCAATGCCCCCAGTTCTAATGTGCCTTGTTCCAGATATTCTTTCTTTCATTAAGGCGGACTAATAAAGAAAAACAAAAGCAAACATCTACTTCTTATAGCAGTGTAGGTATGGTTTACAGATAGTATGGAGAAATTGTTGCTGAGTTACAACTTCCACCAGTACTCATCATTGGTCTTGCTGGCCCAGCTTCCTTAAAGATGTAGCTCTGGAGGGCCATGGCTTCCCTACTGTAGGAGATAACCAGGCTGAGCCCAAGGGATGGGTCAAATGCCTCATCATTCAGGAGTCCCTGCATGCCCATAAAAGATCTGTCAGGCCCACCTTGAATTCATTTCTATTGTTAACTCCTGTTAATTTCCCTTGACTGTTACTAGTTCAGATTCTTGTAGAGAGCTTACAATAAATCTTTATACACATTCGAACTGCCTGATTTCCCTGGTGTTTGACATCCCTGCTTGTTCTGAATAGCAAGAATGACTGAATGACTAGTGAGAACTTTGGCAGGGGGTGGATTTGACAAGGGATGAGAGAATCACTGAGGATATCTTGCTCAAGAGTCTTCTTTCTCAAAACCAAGGGTTGTTATCTTGTGAAATTATTTCCACATGCCTTCCACTGCATAAAGGAAGAATGGGTTGCTCACTCCACTGGGAGTTTAATGATGCCAATATGCAGAATAATCTCTTTTTGTTTTCTCTTTCTCCATAGATATCTTCTTCTTCTGCATGTGTGCTTTAGGTCACGAGATGGCAGCTTCCCAACTTTAAAGCTCAGCCCCCAAGAATTTAGCCTATTTACTGTACAAATAAATGGATTTTATCTTTTGGCGCTAGACTTTTTTTTAAACCTGAGTCAGGATATTATTTTAATGAAATCCAAACCCATAAGGTCTCCCTCTGATTAGGATGGCAAGCATGACCAATTAAGTTAGACCTGGCAATAAAACACATGAGAAATGCAAGCATAGAGGCTCTCTGAGTGACAGGAAAGGGAGCGGCAAGCCCAGCAATCTTTAGATCACAAGCAGGGTTTATTTTGGGCAACATCCATTATGATCTGATCTCACTTCTCATCTTATCACAATGGGAACAGGAAGGGATCATTTCATGGCTCATTGTTACAGAGAAGAAATGTAACAAAAGTCAAGCTCCTTAACAATCAGGGTTTCCTGTAAGTTTTTGCAGATATGTGGCATGGGCATAATTGAATATGACAATCAGCATATTAAACTATTTTCATGCCAGCAAAGTGATATCAATTTGTCTTAAAATAATAAGTAGTGTAACTATAGAGGGAACTCCTTAGTACTGTAGTGCTCTTTGTTTTAATTACTCTAATTGCAACCTCATTCTTGTCACTTCTAGACCTAAAGGTGCTTTTTCAAAAAGCAGCTGGACTTTGTTTTTTCTTGAAGATGTTTTACTTCTCCTCCAAGAAATTTCTTTAATTCTGACTGAGTGGAGGATGAAAGGATTTACATTTCTTGCAGTTAACTGGTCATTAGCACTCTTTCTTTTCAGTGGCCCTCAGGATCACCTCAATACTGCAAATGGGTGTGCAATGATCAATGTTTCCAGCTCATTAAGATATCACCTATTTTCTGTTTACAACATAGTCCTTTCAGCAGCTGCAAGAAAGTTTCACATTCATTTGCATTATTCAGGTGACCCTGAGGGCCCAGATAAATCTCCAAGGGGGCTTAATGACTCTCAGAAAGAGTGCTAACAATCAGATGACTGCAAGGAATATAAACTCTTCCATCCTCCACCATTCAGTCAGAACTGAAGAAGCTTCTTGGATGAGAAGCAAAAGGTCTTCAAGGGAAAACAAAGTCCAGTTACCTTTTGAAGAAGCACCTTTGGGACAACCATGACCTGGATGACTGACAATCTCTATAGATATCTCACTTCTAGAGTTTCCATAACATAGACTGACATAACATTGCATTAACTCAATTCATGCATATAGGATGGTTGCATCCAGCGAATTTTGCCATGGGAACATAACCTCAGTGTTCCTATGGCAATGGATGACAGGTTTACTGGAAGTACCCATTGATTGGGTGGAAACATTGATTACTTTTCTGTTTCAATTTCAGAAAAAAACAAAAAGTTATTTCTTTTCCATCAAATCAAATGGATAAAAAGTCCAAATGTTGATAACCTCTCAAAGAAAGAAAAAATGGTAAATTACATTACAGCTGACCAGCTATCCACTCACTTTGACTAAACGTATGCATCACTATTCTACAAAGAGCTAGTATTTTCTGTGACCCTCCAGAGTCTGTAAGTGTTAGTTAGACTACAGGTAGTCCTCAACTTATTATCATAATTGACCTCCAAATGTATGTTGCTAAGTGAGACATTTGTTCAGTGAGCTTTGCCCCATTTATGACCTTTCTTGCCACAGTTGTTAAGTGAATCATTTGTTAAAATTAGTAACATGGTTGTTAAGTGAATCTGGCTTCCCCATTAACTCTGCTTGTCAGAAGGTCACAAGATTATATGACTCCCAGACACTGCAGCCCTCATAGATATAAACCAGCTGCTAAAACCATCTGAATTTTTAACACAGGACCATGACGATGCGGCAATCGATGTAAGCGTGAAAAATGGCCATAAGTCACTTTTTTCAGTGCTGTTGTAACTTTGAATGGTGACGAAATGAAGTGTTGTAAGTTGAGAGCTATCTGTACATTTCATCATTGCAGCAAACAGGCAGCAGTCCTACTTTACTGTTTACTGATTTAACATTAAGGCACTGAAACCAACATCTTACCTTCTGATAATTTGGAGGACGTATGAACAGAGTTGGGATCCACGTCTTCATCAGGCTGGTAATGATAAAGTGTTTGAGATTGTTTGGGGGCTATCCAATTACGGTCTTCTTTCAAAGCAATCAGTGATGATGGTGTCGGATTAAATTTGACTTCAGGGAAGTTATCTCTTTTGGATTCCTTGAAATCTAATGATTTGGGTACTTTTAATTTCTGGTCTTTTTTCATGTTTAGTTTGATTCTAAAATGGGGATTTTCACCTTGCTCAATTTTCTCCTGGTTGATCGCATTTTGTCTCTCCGCTTCCAGCCCATTCCGGGGTGTCTCAGTTGTTGCCATGACTTCTTCCTTTAACACACTACTTGTAGTGGTCATCTTATATCTTTGTGGTGCTTTGGTTGCTGATACTGTGCTTGTATTCATCCTGACCTTGCTATTTTCATGGTTGTTCCTGTTTTCCAGATGATTTAGGAGAGGGATATTTGTGCTGGTTGGTTGCTGCATTGCTGGGTCTGAAATAGACTGAATCAGTGAAGGGGGAGTAACACTGCTTGCAAGGTAGTCATAATCCTCACTTTGTTCTTGGCCTATGCTCTCTTGTTCCAACTGGGTTGAAAAGCTGTAGTACTTTTTGGGTGGCTCCACCTGAGTGGTGTCTCCTTCTGGTGCCTCTTGGTCGTAACTGTAGGGATCATCATAGTGTTGCTCTGCTTCCATGGTATCAGATGGATTAGGGGAGGTTAACATAGATTCATTACAATCTGGGAGCTGATAGCACATGAGGTCACCACCAGAATTAGGGCAATGGCATACTTTGCATGTAGGCATGTGGAATGTATGTCCTGCAGCGTATTTCTGGTCTTCGTGGACGCAGCCTATTCTTCCACATTGGGGACATCCATCTGCTGGTAGAACAGCATCAATGCAGTTTTGTGGAAGGTCTGGACATAACATAAACTGGCAGCTGATTTTACCCCCGCCTTTGGGACAAGAACATTCTGTGCTTCCAAAGTCGACCAAATAGGACTGTCCTTCAGGCACTTTTCCGTTGACAAAGCCTACATTCACGCAGTCATAGTACTGGTATCCTTCGCAAGTACAACCATGCTGCAGACAAGAGGCGCAGCATTCTCCAGGCTCTAGAACTTCTTCAATGCAGTTTTCTGGCTGCTTACACTCCACCCCTGTGCAATCCTTCTGTGCTGTTGCAATGCCAGTCCAAATAAGCACCAAAAGGACAGTGTTCATGCAATGTAAGTGGAACATTTGGTGCCTATCCATAATCTTCCTAAATATATTTGGCAAGCATTCAGTTTTTCTAATTTTTTATGGGCTTCTTTTCTTTTCTTTACTACCCTCTTGAACTTCTTGTTCATCCAGCTCTTGGTCAGAAATATTTCCCTGGATCCTGTTTTGGAACTAGAGCCTAGGTTTATGAAAGAGAACTTTGTTAAGTACTATACTTCACACATATCCTGTTAAACATTAGATTATTTTTAAAAATGGATAAAGCTCCAACATCCGGAGACTGACATAAAATTAATCATAATCTTCATCCAACTGTAGACACCAATCTTCAGACTACATTTTAAAAATTTCTTCTCTTACTTTCTTGAATTTCTTATTCTTACTTTTAAAAAAAGATTTAAGAAATGTCTCTTTATCTACTTATAAAACAAACACCAAGTAAAATAAAAAGCAAGTTTTTATAATGGTACTTTTTTTAACAGGTTTAATATTCTTGGGTATCTTTTTCTTAGTTCTAACTTTTAAAATAATTCTTGACAAAAACAGACAATTCTTTCTCATACTGATCTTAGTCTGAATGTATTTTAGCAGTATATCTCATTCTGTTTTCTGATGGAGGTATGAATGGCAAGATAGCATCAAAATATTAATTAGTTTTGAATTTGGGCCCAATAGAGTCTGAATTTAACTTGAAAAGTTGTATTCCACCAAAATATTTTTTTTCTCATCTCCAATTTAACTTACTTGCAGTAAATGTCCATTGCAGGACTTCTGTGAAGCACTAACTGCTGTAATGAGCAAGCATGGGATGATATGTGGTCACCAGGAACCATAAGAAAGACCTGCAATGAAAGTAGCGATATTAGGAATCAGGAAAGTATTTTCTGAATGTCATTACACCTAACATGAGTGTTTATCACTAAAGTATTATTGGGAGCATAGAAGAGCCCAAAGTTCATCTGGTTTGCTCTAAAAATCATTTGTCTTTAGTGTTGAACACAAAGCATTTCTTTGAGTCCTTTTTCAATCTTGTAGGTCAAGTGGAATATCGCTATTTTTGTAAAGATCGGGTACTGTTATGTTCTTACTCAGAACATTTGTTATTATTTCCTGTGGTAGTCAAAGAATAAAGTAAATGACCATACAGCAACACATCTCAATAGGAGGTCAATATGTCATGTAGAGTCAGGGAAACAAATTATTTCTGTCTACCTACTTCTGCTATGATGTTGAAAGTGAAACTCTGACCCTTACGGTTCTGGACATCTCTGTTGGAAAGATTGGCTCCACTGCATATTAACTGGGGAAAACACCGTGGCTATGCCTGAGATGCTTTCCTTTATCACTCATAAAACATAAAGTTACTATTAAAGTTCTTTGCAACAATATTTTTTTTAAATTTTCACTTTTCAAACATTGGACACCCACATAAGAATATGCATTTAGCCTCAAATGCACACACAAATCCTACGTACCAGCAAACAAACTTTGGTTTGCTTTAAAAACTTCTATTTTTTTTCTCATTAGATGTGTATGTATACCTAATATTGCATTTCAAAAGCAAATTTTTTTATTCTGAATTGAAAATAAAACTGATAATACAATTCAGATAATGATGGCAAAAAGCATGCACTTTTGTACATGAAGGTACTGATGATACTATACTGGTTTAAGCCCCTTCCAAACCAAAATGTTAAAGCAAAATTGACATAAAGACGATACAAAAGAAATGCACACTAGGCATCAAAAGGGAAAATCCATTCACTTATCATTCTAACACAAGTTTCTCAACCTGATGCCCTCAAATTGTGTTTAAATTGGATTAGTTGTCCCATAGGTGCTTTTTCAAAAGGCAACTGGACTTTCTTGTGGGGGAGGTTGTTTTGTTTTGTTTTAAAATGTTTTACATCTTATCCAGTTCAGAACTTAGATAAGAAGTGAAGCGTGTTTATTTTTTTTAAGTTCAACTATGACCTGGATTCTATAGAGAATCTCCATGGACATTTGGACAAGTCTAGAGAGCATTAAAGATCCAGGATGGCTGAATTCAACAGTCATCATCTCAGCTGTACCAATATCAATCACTGTCCTTCTCTGAAAGTCATGTGAAGAATATACGAAGGTAATCTCATAGCAAAATCTTCATATTAACATATTTACAATATTTCTATCTTCTCTCAATTCCTGGTATCTCTCATTAAGCCTAGTAGTCCTTGATCTGAATTGAACATGCAATTGATACATTTCAACTTATTTTATTCATGATATTACAATGCTATTTTTTAAAAACAAAACCCCATGACGTCTAAGGACAGGAAGATTTCTTTTGTCATGAACATAAAAGATTTCCTACCCATAGTTGTGAATGATGTGAATAAACCCCAATTACAGTGATTTGTTAAAAAAATATCACTTCTACATATACTCTCAAAAAACTGAGAACTTGATATACCAAAATGCACCTCCAAAATTGATCTTACCTTTATTGCTTATAAAGCAATCTTTTTTTAAGTACCTGTATATCCTATAGATATATAGATATATAGATAGATAGATAGATAGATAGATAGATAGATAGATAGATAGATAGATATAGATATAGATATAGATATAGATGATATAGATATAGATATAGAGATATAGAGATATAGAGATATAGAGATATAGAGATATATAGATATATAGATATATAGATATAGATATAGATATAGATAGATAGATAGATAGATAGATAGAGATAGAGATAGATAGATAGATAGATAGATAGATAGATAGATAGATAGATAGATAGATAGAGAGAGAGAGAGAGAGAGAGAGATAGATAGATAGATAGATAGATAGATAGATAGATAGATAGATAGATATTCATGTATAGGCTCATCTACAAATAAGTTGACCCTCAAAATATCATGAAGAGGATAATCTCTGGGTTACCCACGGGTAATCTTATTGGGCAAATTAAAACATATAAAGAAAGGATCAACTTATTTACAAGTGATACATTTTTTACAATTTTAGTTAAAAATCTAATGATCATGTTATCCATGGATGGGCTGATACAGAAGTATATCTGGTACAGCAATTATGGTCCTAACTCTTAATTTGTTCTGAAGATGGTGTGGCATAACAACAGTTATTTAAAATATGCTTTTAGGATATAAAGTATGTCACTTGATAATGTAGTAGGTCTCTGTAAATCAACCCTAATTAGATACATAGCTACAAAATTGAAAATGAGCAAAAGAGTTTCATTTGAGCTACTTCAAGCTTTGATTTGAATATTTGTTCATTAGCTAAAATGGGAACCATCACATTTTTACAGAATCAGGTAAAAATATAAAGAATAATCCTATGCAGTAGTGGTTCTCAACTTGTGTCCACAGACCCTTGGATACTATGATGTCATCACAGGAGGTCCATGAAGGATTGAAGAAATGTTATGATTTAAATCTTGAGTTAAGTCTTGGGAATTCATGGCCATGGTCCATGGCCACAAAAGTATTTAGGGTCTGTGGTGAAGAAAAGGTTGGGAACCAGTGCTATAGAGCAAAAGTTTCCAAACCCTTTTTTAAGTTCACATATTCCAAACAGTATTGCCACTGAAACGTATTCCCATGGGCTTGTCTAAGTAAAAAGAAGTGTTGCTTGAGAGGGATCCGACTATACTCAATCTGTTCACTCCAACCCACTTCCTTATTTGCTTATTCCCAGGCTTTCCTTCCACTAGCCATAGATGTACAGCTAGAAAGACAGATGGGCAGGTGGGCTACTGGGGGCTCTCAGGGACTCGGAGAGCTCCCAACAACCTCAGAAAGACAAGCAGCAAGGGAAAGCTCTTAATAGGCTTAATTGAACTTCCGGGTGTTCAGCCAAGAGCATTTCACACCTTGTAAAAGTGTTGCAAGCTAGATAAACAATCCATTCAGCACTTGCAAGGGAGAGCCATTGAGAAAATCAAATAATATAGCCAGTAGAAACTCCCTGCCTGGCCTCCAAGGAGATTAATTCCCAAATAATAAGAATCACACAACTCAGCAGAAACTCTAGTAAGACTTCAAGATCCCTCTCACAGTCACTGCTATTAAGCCTGGTTTCACCCAGTCTTTTATTTAAGTATTAAATGCATGAAATAATATACAACTTTTTGATATATATCTTTTTTTAGGTAATTGGGGCAAAGAAGCGACATCGAGTTGGTCACACTCACCCAGTCACATGACTACTGAGCCATGCCCATCCAATCACATGACCACCCAATCACATGACCACCTAGCCATGCTCACCCAGCCATATGACCACACCCAGCCACACCTACCCAGCCAGTCATTAGAAGCCCACCCTTGCAGATAGGGTGTATTTTGTATTTTCTTTCTTTTTTTATATAAATTTTATTTGAGTTTTCACAAAGAAAAAAAAATACAAATAAAACAACTTTTTTGAAAGTAGCGTAATCCTGCGTTACATTTCTTTGTACAGACACAAATTCGACTTCATGCTCATTTTTATATTCTATTCCATACCTTATTACTATTTTACATTTTCAGCATAGCTTCTCCCCTCTTTTAATTTTCTCAATTTTATTTTAATTATCTCATTTCAATTCAAATCATTATATTTATATTTTTTGTCTGTCCTGTTTCAGTTATCTATTATCTTTTCTCATTAAACAAAATTTCTCCTGTAGTTGGAGTATGACGCCTTTATATCTTTTAAGTTTATCCATTTAACTCTTATTTAGGCTTCAATATATACCCTAAAGTTATAACATTCAATATAATACATAACTTCCATTCGGATTCTGCTTGGTACATTCTTAAAATACACACTATATTCGTAAAAAAAGAAAAAAATATAAATGTATGTAATTAAAACAACACATTCCATTCCAATTCAATTCTATCAATAATGTTAATATTCATTAAAATCTTAACTTCTTTACCATTACTTTTCAATTAAATATCATACTTCTATGGGAACAATTGTAAGCTTTCCATCATTAATTCCCCCCCCCTTCACTTATATTTTATAAAACATTGACTAATTAAAATGTTCCCGTTCCTTCCTAATTCAATTTACCCATTTATTTTATTTCACTTATTTTATTAACAAACATTTCACTAAATTACACTATTTTATCCCTCATTTTAATCATACATTGTTTCAAATTTTCT